TAATATCATCTTTAAGTGTTTCAAATATAATAATTACCATAAATAATACGCAGCATAGTGACCTTTACAAGGAAATTATCTGAGCTAACTAAAAAAAAATATATTTGCGCAACGAAATCGAAGAATTACTAAGATGCAAGATTTATTTATATATTCATTTTAATTTATAAAAAATCACATCAAAATCACGTCTTAATCGCATTTAACAAAACGAAACTAGCAATGTTTCCTGCGGCTGCATTTAGGTGTTTGGAAATAGACGGCCGCCTCGTAGAATAAACACTTTTAGCTGAATAGTAGTGTTTCGGGATGTGGAGCGGCCAGTTGGCTTTTATACCTTTCCATTTTTAGATTTCACGAGATTTACGATTCTTGGATGCGGCGTTTTGCTTTGTTTGAAAATAAACATTTGTTTATAAAGTTAAATGACAAAGGTAAATCCCTTTTTTAAGTTTTTATCGTCTTGTAGAATGCGGAAACGTGTACGTGGTACGAACTGCGGGTACTCGTCAACGGTCAATGAAACTACTTTTAATTATTTCTATCAGTTTCAATTTACTCGCAGACAATATAACCTAAATGTCTGTGAATTTACTCTATACTATTTCAATTTACTTTTACTTTATCTTATTATCTATCCAATTTATTTTCTGTATATTTTTTCGCTCGGCTCAAAGTATTCGTATCTAACATAACAAATTAAAAAAAGGCGCATATTTGTAATTTATTTGGTTCCACTTAAATAAATATTTAAATGTCATAAAATGTTAGTTCTTGAATTAATTATTATTAATATAGTATAATTTATTAGTTTCGCTTACAAATATGTATTATTCAAATTACGCAAGTGTCTCACCTCCACTCAGCGTACACGGTTAGTAGACAGTTCTGTGAAAAAGTCAGCGCTGATTAATTTGAAACACAACATTGATTAATTTGGAACTCATTGAAATAAAAGTTAGTAATTTGTGCATTTTATAAATGTGATTTTTTTTTAATTTTATACAGCAGATATTTATTTGCGAAATAAAATTATACCAAACCAATCGGAGGAGGCACGATTAGATGCTCGCGTGCGTTCTCTATAAATAGAATTTCATAATTTTAACGTTTATTGTTCTCTATCTCCTTCCTACTCGTTCTCATTGTGTATGTGTGAGAGGGACTCGAATAGAGGGCGAGGTGCGTCCTTCACTTGTCGCGTTCGCTTTCTATTTTTACACTAGCGTTTTTGTTCTTTATAATTTATCAAGCTTTGTTATGATTTTTGTTGCAAAATTGTCTGTGTAAATATATATTAATCATGGACTCGACGTTTAGCGAAATCAACATTTACCTCATACTCTACTAATGAATTTCCTCATTCTCTATGCTGGCTTTTATTTTGACATTTATAATTGTAATTTGTTATAAATGTATCCCAATACGTAACCATTTCTTTATAACTGATCGTCTTCGTAAAGGATGAACTACTTAATATAATTGTGTCTTTTGTGTGTGTTTGTACGTCTTTACCGATTGTGAAACGAATTTCGTATTTTATAATAAAAACGTTATGCCTTAAGTTTCAAAAAATCAAGTCTACGGATGGAATCATAAAGTTTGTGATTTTTTTAGTTATAGATTATTTTAATAATTTATTTAAGGTTTTAACTATTAACCAATATATCTATATGTGTATTAAGCAGAGCAAACATTCGTCGCAACACCTGTAGAGTACCTAAACGTTAAGAAAATCGAAAGACTACGAACTAATCTTATCTTATACTCGTATTCTATTCTATTACCTACCTAAGTATCAACAGTTATATATATAATGTTATATTCATATATTTATGTATACATAAGTATATGTTATGGAATATATGTATGTAGGTCGCTATCTTAATTATAACTTATCGTTGTGAATATTAAACATAGATAAGGCGATCGCGTTCAACATGTGAACTATAAATAGAAACAATCTTGATACTTTAATCAGTCACGCGTTCTTAACTGTTGCCTTTTATTGTTAATACTACATACTTCTAAGTTATTGAATATATTATTCTATATTAAAAATTCGCATTTTACATTCTAAGTCACACGTCGTGTAAATATAAAATGTTCTTATTAATACTAATTAAATTGTTCGTACGTATATTATAAACTACTAGCGATCCACCCTCGCTCCGTTAACGTTTAGTAAGTATAGATTTCTCGCAAATGAGATATTTTCCAGCAGTAAAAATACTTAAACGTAAAAGTATCCTATATGTTGACGCGTATAACCAGCTATCATCATATCCAATTTCATTGAAATCTGTCCAGTGGTTTTCTCGTGATGCGTTCCCAGACAAACAGACAGACAAAATTCTAAAAATTGTACATTCGACCTCTGCATCGATAATAATGACTATATCAATAAGATTTTCCAAAAAATGTATAGATAAAGTACCTACTAGGCTTTGGCCGATTTCACCAACGTTACCTAAGTTTAAGGGGTCTCCTAAGCATAGTTAGTGAGCTGTTAGGGGACAATTAGGGGTCACCTAAAAATTTTTTTTTTTAAATGCCATCTAAATATAGGTACTAGAAATATAGGCTCTGACGATGGTAAACGAAATTTAATAATGTTTGTAATCTATATTGTTTGATAAATTCGGAAATTACTGAACCGATTTTAAGATTTTTTTCACTAATACCCAAAAATACCATAGGCCTTAGGGTCTATTTTATTTCAGGAATAATAAGTTTTCGGCCTGAGCCGATAAGTTTTCAGCCGAATATTGAAATATATATAGTTATGATTTGTTTCTTTATGGTTTTTGGAAATCATTTATTTAGCAATCAATATCATTTCTTTTCAAATTATATTCCGCAAACCGACAGCCAAAAAGCGACATGATGAAGTTAGCTGCATTCCTTTTACAAAAAGAGAGTTGCGACATACGGGATGAAATCTTTAGCTATTTTTGTTCTGTTACGCCAAAGAAGTATAACTTCTTACGTGCGTACATAAGTACACACACACACGTTTTTTTATTTACTTTCTTTAATCATAAAATATAACATCTAATCATAGCAATGATCATAAAATAGGAAATACCAATTTACATGGGGATTTAAATTTTTTTTTACACTAATAGTAAGAACTTCCTTATTACATGCTGTAAAAAAATAATGAAACTTCGTAGAGGTGCTACGTATACAATTGCTACGCACCCCTGATAGGCACTTCATTGTAATTAATACCTAGTATACTTTTAAATTAAACTTTGTTCTGTGTATTTTAATTTTGTAATGCATATTATGCGTAACTATTATTATTATACATTGTCTATATTATTGTATTGAGAATTAAGTTGTTTAACGTAACGATTATATCATAATTATTCTATACGTTGTCCTTACAATTTTAAAATTCAAACACCTCTTTACAGTGATCATATTTTCTGGGAACCATTTTAAAAAAAAACAATTTAAATAAAATGTTAAAAATATTCTCATTATTTACCTCCGTGAGGAATATATACACAAAGAAATAAGCTGTTAAAATTTAAGCCCCTTCTGTCCAACGGTTTGCTGTATCTACACATTTATAATTGGTAGGTAATAATATGTTCTGTGTAGATATTGACAGAATGTTCATTTCATTTAAATCTTTTCAATATCAAATTAAAATACGAAAGTGATAGCGAACTGTCATGTACTCATCAAGATTATCTATAGGTGCATATTATCATGTTTTAGAATCTTAGTCAAGTATAAAAAAGCTAAAATGTTTTTGTTTATTTACTTATGCGTACTTATCTGTAGTGCACATTTATCACGCAAGTCATTAGGCTAATGTTGCATGCAATTGATAATTAAATATCTAATAGATACCTATTATTTATAATAATCTGTATCGTATTTTTATTTTCGTAAAATCATCCAAATACAAAAAATCAAAACGATTGAAGGTCGCGGTGCGGGTCCGGAGCCCTTCTAAATTTAGACACCTAAAAATAGTCAGCCGCCCCTTTCTCCCCCCGCCCGCCCTCACTCCGCGACCCTCAATGTAGGTCATAGTAGCTGAGGTCACACTCCGCGAAGTATAGGTTTTGGATCCCCGTCTATCCCTCTCTAAAAATTACCAAATACATATATTTCTGTCCTTGTCTATAACCAAAGAGCTAAGCACCCTCGAGGGAGTGACCTTCTTCTAAAAGGGTGAGGCCTGTCGTTTCGATACGAGTTATTCATGTTTTTAATATTATTATCTTTTTCCAATGAATCATTTTATGATGAAACATTCGGTACCTACTTAAAATGTTTTTCGTCGTCACGTAATTAAAGGTCAAAGTTAGTAGAAGATTGTAAGTACATATAATAAAAGTTATAAGTTACTTTGGAGTTGACTGTAAACTAGTACCTAAGTAGTAAAATAAAATTGATTTAAATATCATGTTTCTTTGACTTCTATGGTGTAACATTCTTGACTTCCTAATAATTAATTTGTTGTAAATAATTGACTGCATTTTAAACATAGCAATCATTTATTATAAATATATATATATATATATATATATATATATATATATATATATATATATATATATATATATATATATACATTGCATTGTCAATGCATATGAATGTGGTCTGCCTTTCATACGGATAAAAAGGATGTGGAGAAGAAGAACTCGTTCCTTTTAATGAAAACTTTTACCTTTATGTTTGTATGTAAATATAAAATAATTATTTGCATATAAAACACAAAATTATACTAAAATTACTTTAATATGTAAATATGAAATATTTTCACTACGCAACGGTAAATAATCATTTCATATTTCTAACATTACATACATATCAAGGATAGGTAATGATAATAATTAATAACCAAACTAAATCAGTACAGACACCACTTTGACCAATTTGTCCTAATATTAATAAAACTATTTTATTATACATAGTGATATGGATACTACCTGTTATATTATAATATTATAAAACAAATGTTTCTTTGTTTTCAGAAATGGCGCATGAGAGCGCGAGTGGCGCGGACGGGTCGCCGCACCACACGCCGTCGCCGCCGCACGCGCCGCGCCTCTCCGCCGACACCAGCTTCCACCAGCAGATCTTGCAGGTGAGCATAACCCACCTGCGCACTAAATACACCTTGCCACACTGGAGCCCTGGAGTCTATAAAAGAATTTCTTCAATTTATAATTTATATATTATATCTCTTTTTTAAATTTTGCAGCCTTATTGTTATACTGTTTTCATTTATGTACGTTAATTTATTATTATTTACTTTTAAAGCAATGTATAAGTATATATCACATTGAATTTAAGTTTGTTTTTAGATTTTACTTTTTCTGTACGATAATATTTGAACAAATATTAGTGACTCGTCCTTAAACTAATAATGGGGAGTTCCTTACTATACACCGGGTTGGCGCTGGTGCCTCAAGAACTCCTTAATGTATCAGAATCGCTGTACGCTATACCACATTTTGGTCTGAACCGTATGCTCGTCTTATTAATTACATCAATCCGTTTCTCAGCCACTGCGTGAATAAATTACTCTTCAAAAAATGAGAAGGTACTTAATTTGGGTGTTTGTGTGTATGTATTTGCGATATACATATGTATTTGCCAACCGATTTTGCGGCGTCGCAACAGACAACGACTTAGGCACCTTTACTTGTGCAAGACCACGAATCCTGGAAACGTAGAGGCGAAGCCTTTGCCCAGCCGTGAGAAAAATTGGGCTAACTCTAACTGAAACTGGTTTTAATAAGTAGGTAAGATAAAATAATAGAGGCCACTCTCTCTCTATAAGTATATTTTTTCTTTGGATGTTGTTTTACTTTTATACTTGAAATTTAAAAAGTATACGCAATTTTAGTAGAATACTAATAAAAACTTTGTTGGGTAGTTAGTTACTTTGCTAAAGAAAATTAATGGAAACATTGATTTCTTACACAAGACTTAGAACATTTCTTTCATTGTATCCACTTTACTTTTTTACTTTAAAACAGTATACTAAAATTACATAATGTTCTTTGAAATTACTCTTTAAGTGCATTTAGCATAATTTGTTTTCCTCAACTCTCAGTAGGAAGTAAATTAACCTTCAAGGTAAATAAATACTTCTTATAAAAATAGGTAAATGTTGTTCTGGTTATTTCCCAGAGAATAATCCTTAAAAGGAAATTTACTTTGTTATTATGTGCGTTTCAATTTATGTATGAATCATAATATTATGATTGAGTTTTGTTATTAATAGCAAATACCTGGTGGGATGTTTAAGTTTAGTTAAGGTTTATGTTTGTAGGTTGTCTATTGACAAGCTTTAGTGTTACCAATAAGAAAAATTAGAAACAGTTCTAATGATTATGGTCGAATTATAAAATGTTTATTAAAAATAGTGTAACATTTAAAAAAAACACGAAACAATAACTGTTGAGTTTCTCGTTGATTCTTTTCAGCACTTAAACTTTTAAACTTAGATTTTAAAATGAAACTGTTTTGGTAAGCTTTTTTAATAGTGATGATGAAAATAAATGTTTCATATAATTTAATAACACTGGTCGACATAATACTTTCTTAGATTTACGCGAATATTTGACATTTTAAATAAAACTATCTTTTCGGATTTTGTCGCGGATTTATTTGGATTTTTGTTTCCCGACGTTTCGAATGCTTTACAGCATCCATGGTCACGGGAGAGACTGAGGTGTTACATGTCTTGAATGTATAGTTGTTACAGACAGCCTACCCACAATTAACAAAATGAAAATTGCACCAATTACATTACAATATTTTTTAACTTTAAACATTTTTATAATTTTAATTATAATTGAATATGGAAAATTATTTATTTAATTTTGCTATTATTTTTATAATTATTACAATTTTAAAATATTAATTAGTAATCTATATTTAGTGTTGCCATTATTATATTTATAACCATAAAGATAAAATATAAAATGTAGTATTAATTATTAAAGCCATATAATTGTTCTATGTGTAATTTAAAAAGTTAAAATTAATTAAGGATAATAATTTTAATTTAGTTTGCTATTATTTAAAAACAACTTACTAAGCAACTCTATTAATATATACTTTTACAAATGAAAAATTTTTGAAAAATTTCAGCTCAATAAGATATGAATCATGCACTAATTTTACATACTTGTAACCAATATTTCTTAGGAACTTTCCATATATAATTAAGAAAACAAATTAGATTCATTGAGTACCTATTTGTGTAATATAACAAAATAATTCAATAACCTACCTATACCTAATACCTTCCGTACCTATCCGTAATTATGGCATCATTTCGAAGCTTACAATATTCAAATATATCTATAATACCTAATGAACAAAAAAAGGGGAATAAATAGTAGGTATATTCAGAAAAACGTCTGCGCTGAGGTTACTTATATGAGCAATCAACAACTAATTACGATAGAAATCTAAATACATAATGAAGATGTTACCGCAGATTAAATGATAATTAATTTTGATTTTTAATTGATGCACCTCACTTAATTTAATAAAATATAAATACGTCTATTGTGTGACTAATTAATTTTAATCCTTTTTTGATAAGTAAATTATGTTATTATTAAAATGTTAGGTATTTTCTTTTAGACACAATAAAAATATATTTGCAAGAAGTTTAGACAGAATTTACTTATAGAAGTACGAGTATACCATATACGTAAAACTACGAACTTTTTTCAATTTTATTTCAATAAAAATATTTTTTTTATCGTAAATTGTTATTATTTTGTTAAATAAAATTAAATAAAGTTACACTGAAATATTTAATTGTAATAATTTAAGGAACTATACTAAATTATTATAAATTAATAAAATAAAATCTAATGATATAAAAATCAGTATTTAAACCTCTTATAATAGTTATGATTTATTTGTTGTACTATATCTTTTACTTATATAATTTTTCGTTTATTATGTAATAGTTCAAAATTGGTTTATTATGGTTATATAGTGAAAGCTCTATATGAACTTAACGACATCTAAGCCTGCGACTCCGATGCTTTTGTTTAATTTATAGTTTTAGTTTTATTTCATATTTGGTTATATATAACAGCTTTCGAAAATTATGTATACAATGAATGTATGCCAGCGATGTCTGTTTCACACGCCGCAGCTTTACCTTCTCGGAAGTCAGTCATTTCTTAAAAAAAACATTTGCACGTAATATAAGTTACGATGCTAAAAATATGTATATCGACTGCAATAAGAAAAATAAATATACTTAATAACTTCAAAGTATAATAATCCTATATCATGGACGAAGTGGTTAATTTGTTCATGCCCTACATGTTCAAAATCCATTCCTAAATGTAGAGCTGCATTAAATGTATCTAACTATAAGTTATAACTAAGTTATAATTTATACGGCTCGTTTCCTTTTAAATTTCAATTAAGTACTCCCTCGTGAAATATGATCAGAGACGCAACAGCCCGGAACCGTGTATACAAAACCTGTTTTTATTTCGGTTTTAAACATCATAAAAACATAATGAAGAAGCTAAGCTCTAGAACCGTGGTGTAGATGCTGTCGGAGCAATATTTTTTTGGTTCTGTGTAAATGAAAATATGTAAATATTAATTAATAAATTGAGTTACCTTTATTTATAGGACAAAATCTAATTTCGTTGTTATCATCGACGGCATGTATTATGTATCATGTACCTTCAAACAATAAATTACTAGCTGAGTTCTTTTATAAACATTATTAAGTGTTACTTCGTCAAAAATGTGGCACCCTTTTAGAACTTGAGCAAATGAATGGCTAGTTTAGTGAAATGATGATAACTTTTCGAAAACTTATGGGTCATTACCCTATTTAGAGCCTTAATAATTACTTTTAAATACAGGTTGTATATTAATTTAAACTTAAATTTAACAAGTTGTATATTAGGGCGTTAAGGGTCAACGTGTGCTCAATCGGACCTACCTAACCTTCGAAGACTTAGAGTAAACAATGACAATGCCACACACTGCGAAGGTAGCCGGTGTGCCTCTACAGTTAACAAATTTCCCCTGACCTTTTCGAAGCAGTGCAGTGCGCGATCATTTCATTTTAAATACGACGCGATATTTTTAAAAATTCCCGAGCGCGTTATAAATAAAGACGTACCAACACATGTATAGAAAACGTGGAGCGGTCCGTCCGTCCGCACACTAAATTTACATGCGTCGATGTAATCTAGAGATAATTTTAGATTGCGTGTTGATGCGGCCTCCGCGCACACAACGCGGACGGTCGCTGTTGCGAATTTGAAAACATTCGCCATTATCGATAAGTACATGCTGATAGGATCGAATATCCGGTCGGTCGTGTAAAAATATACTACAGATGTTCGGAGATGTACAACTCGTTGTTCTGCTCAATGAAACACGCGATTTAGCCGGTGTTGGCCAGCCGCCTCGTCTCCGTTTATATCCGGGCACCAATCCAGAATTTGATCTTCAAGATAATCTTAAACTTACCAGGCTTTTCTAAATACATCGTGATAAATAAGTTGTATGTATATATTTATTCACACCTTTTTTTAACGTCCCAAAGGCCTCCCTTTAATACAAGGGCCATCAAGTTATAGTCCACCAGGCTGGCCAAGTGCGGGTTGGCGAACTTCACGCCTTTCAAAAATTTGATAGGTTCTCTCAGGTTTCCTCACGATGTTTTCCTTCACCGTAAGGCAAGCGGTAATCATGTTAGAAATGAATCGCACGTGACATTATCAAAGGTGCGTGACCCGGGATTCACTGGAATTTCCAAACGAGCGCATTACCACTGGGCTACTACTGCCTCGTAATTTAAAAGTAGTTTATATAATAAAAAATAAGTCTCAAACGATTAAGTATCAAGTTTATTCGTAGTTCACAGCAACTTTCCTGTTTAATGTGTGTTGAATATGTAGGTACCTACATAACATTAGGATTGTTATTTATTTACTGAATAACTACAGATTTTGCTAAAAATTATAAATATTAGTGTAGAATGTGAAAAAAATTATGTATGTACATAGTACATCAATATGAAGATGTTTACACATTGGATTGATTATAACTAATTTTTGTTTTCTATCTTAAACTTAGATAAACAAACGTTCGGTTATCGCTTTTAACGTCATATACATAAGTATTCCCATTTTTACCGACACGCCAGTTTATCACTAAATAACGTAATGTATAGCCAACATCCATTACGCAATGACTCGCTCGTGTTCTTACAACAGTTATTGGAGATGTCAAAACAAAGCCGTGATAACTATCAGCTTACATGACTCGATGACAGGATCTTCGCGTCATAATGGGAGCGTGAGTTATACTCATAGCTTGTCGCAGTACAGCATTCTCTTGGACATTTAATCAACAATTGTAAGCAGTTTTTTCACTATTTTTTTATTTATATCAATATATTTTTTTAATTAAATTTTCACATTCTTAAACTTGATATATTTTGAATGAATGTCCAATATTTTAATGGAACTTGAATGGTTTCTTCAAGTTATTTTTATGCTAAAACATAAAAGTAAATCTATGCGTATCTTTTGGATTAATTTGAATTGGTTTGTACTTTAAAGACGTTCAACAATAACGTGTAAGTGCAGAAACACAATTTCTATGATGGCGAGGGGGTATCTCAAGGAGGGGCGGGTTGCGAGCAAAGCACGACAATATTTTTACCCCGCCCACCACTCGCGCGCAAAACATCCGTCCGCGCGGGCTATTCCCGGCGCGTGCGCATTCCGACGCCCGCCATTTCTTTTTCTCATCGAACCAAAATAATGTTCGCGACGCCAGAAATATGCACACACGCCGACCCGCCACAACGCTCCACACTTCCTTCAATATTTATAAAACACGACGCCACAGGCACAAAAGAGCTTTCTTTATTCACTAATGTATCAAAAATATTATCATGACAATGAAATTATGATAATGAATTTTTAATTTAAACATATAACTCGCAAATTTCACGCTTCGTATGGAACAAGTTCGTTTTACATACGAGAGCATGCAAATTATAACAATATATCATGTGATCTTAGTTAAATATGTATAATGTATGTACATTTACTTTTTGCGACTGCGATTATTTAAAACAAATCTGACTTGTTTATCTATTCGTATATTTTATATTTATAATTATCATTCTAAAGTTTAAAATATTGAAGTTTGTAGACTTCATGGCATTATGTGGTAAGTAAGGTGGTATTCTACATGTATTCTCTCTCATTGTCAGAATCAGAGCCCGAGAAAGAATCCTATTGCGGAGAGAGCGAAACAAACATTAGAAAATAATTTCCTGTTGCAAGTGAGTCCTTTATTATACAATTGTGTACAAACGACCGTGTCACATTCAACGACTACGTCAATGTAATGCCACTCTGGAACGTTATACGTGCATTTTATCATAAAATAGAGGCACTCAAAGACGGTTTGTACATTTGAGAGAATCATTATAAAAATACTGTTCTAAGCGTTTTGAATAGGTATCCAGTTTGAGAAACTTAGAATGATTTTTATTCTGTTCAAGTAGATAAGAAGGATAATACCTATTTATTGTAATTTTATATGACTAATTGTCATTTTTTCAATGTTTGTAAATCATTATCTTTGAATGGACTAATTTCATTCATTTGTTTAAATATGATTCAAGAATATTCATCTCGTACTTTTAATATAATAGTAGTGCTTGGTTTTGGCACGATACCACGATCTATAAATGTACTTTTATTATCAACTCTACCATTTAAATATAATGAAAAACTCGCTAGAAAATAGAATCTGACATTACAAAGAGGAAGTATAAAACCTATATGTTATAAATCTTTTCAATTCCTTTTATTTGTTCTATAGGTTTCATTTTGCTATGCTGTTTTTCTTTAATATAATCCGACTTTATGAAATAACAAGGATGTCGTTAATAGTGCCCATAATTCGGACTGTCAGATTTTATTCTTTTACTAGTTCTGATATCGTTGAAGGTGTCATCGTAATGTTCCAGAGCATTCTTACAAAATGTAACTTTTATAAAAAAGATACGGTAGTGGTTTTTCTTCTAAATTATATATTATTTCCTTTTATTTTTCCTGTTGTTTGAATATGACACCCCGTTTTTGTGTTACTTTTTTCATTTCAAATTTTGCGTGTGTTATCTGATTCATTGATTTTGCAAAATTGTTTTAATTCTAATGTTATCACTTTTTTTGTAAAAAAAAACAATTTTTGTTACCATTTTATCTGTCTTTGATTAAGTTATCTGTTAAACGCTTCTTCACTCAAGTCACTTTGCGATCTACACGTGATGTACAATCAACAAAACAACAAATAGCACATGTTTATTCAATAATGAATGGTGTTTTATCGTTTATGTTCTATAATGTGCTGTATGTACTATACAAAAAATGGTAAAAGGCATGAGTTTTTTGTACAACAGTCAAGTCCCTTATTAACTTATGTACAAAAGTCGTAGGTAGAAAATTGGCCATTATCCACTTGGCCGCGGCACGAGTAATAACAAACATCTCATTCATGTCGCCATCGATCACCGCTTTGCCGCTTAGACAGCCACCGGAAGCAGGAGGCGACTAAACGCTAATGTAACACCTTACAGGCTAAGAGCTAACGCAGCGACAATAGATGCGTTATCCTCTAACTTAAACTTTTGAAATCAAAGATCGACTGTTGTTATACTTACTGGTTTTTAGTCTTAAATAGAATGATGGAGTTTTTACTTTTAACGTTCCAGTTAAAGAAGCAGCAACAGTTGCAGCAAGAAATTTTGCTGCAACACTTTCAGCAGCAGCAGCAGCAGCTCGCCGAGCAGCACGAGCAGCAGATCAGGCATCACTTGAAGGTGAATATCTCAAAAGTAAATATAATTGAACATATCTATTTACGTTTTAAATTATAAGCTAATTTTACAACAGTATGTGATTTTTATTTGAATTCGAAATACGAGCCAAGAAACCGATGAAGATCTGTAGTGCAAAAAAACTTTTGCGAACACTCAAGAAAATCGGTGTTGCATTTATAAGATCTATTTGTGAAACACGATAGGCATTTGTATAATTAGAACGCTATGATAATAAAAATAACACAATCGCAAGGAGGTACGCTGGTGTGGCCGCTTGCTGGCGGCGCGGCTGTGGGCGCGCTACGGAGCTGTCACAGGCTTCGCTATAAATAGCCGTGAATGGCCTAGCCCGTATTCTGCAATTACATCACTCATAATGCGCTCGGCTGACTGTATTAACCTACCGTGACCCCAATTAGCTGCAAAACACTCGTTATGTTGACACCGTTTCAAATGCTCCACTCGATCCGTTGGGCTCGCGAAAATATTTCCGTATACGTAGCGTGCAAAATAATAGCACATCAGAGCTGTCACCATGACCTTAGTATATTAATACTAAGGTCATGGTGATAACGTGGCAAGATTGATAACAAAATATTTTCAAAAACTGCAATTAAACTTAAGCGTACGCAAATGCTTACGCAACATAAGTTTTATATTGTCTGTAACTTTTTGCAATCTAGACATGTTATGTAAACAGTTTCTGAACTATCATAATGTTTGTCTGCCATTGTATCCGTGTCATAGTTTTTGAAATTGTGATTCACATTCTAAGAAAAATAATTGTAAACATAGAAAATATGCTCGGTATGTGGAGAGAATCCAAATATTATTAAGTCATTTTGATAGCTGATGCCTCCGGAATCCATGACGCATCTTAACGGGCGTAGTTGTCACAGCACACGTGCTATATCACACTCTATTTATAAAAATTCAGTAATTACCTTATCGATTATGTTTAACTTATCTTATTGTGAGTTAGCGATATTTACATAGTTTTTTACTCATACTACGTAAGTTTATTATTCAATAAGTCATCATTCTAATATGAACACGATAAAGTAAGGATTTGATGTTGTTGAAGCTATGGGAGCAGCAGAAAGCGATGGAGGAGGCGGCGCTGCGCGAGGCGCGCGAGGCGCGGGAGGCGCGGGAGGCGCGCGAGCGTCACGAGCGCGACCGCGTCGAGCTGCTGCGCAAGAAGGACAAGCACGAGCACAGTGCCAACGCCTCCACGCAAGTCAAACAAAAGCTGCAGGTGAGGTTAACGCCGTCTTTGTATACCCCTTTTGTACATAACTGTTACTTGCGAAGGTTTGTGTGTATGTGTGTATGTTTGTTTTTGTTACGTGTAATGGATGGACGGATTTGGATGAAATTACACATTAACACAGATAGGCTTATAACTTGGAATAAAACATAAGTTACTGTTATAAATAAAATTAGAAAAAAGGTGATGCTGATATAAAGATTAGTAGTTGTCAAAAGGCATCTAGGAATGGAGAAATCATACGAATTAAAATAAGTTTAAAAAAATGTATCATTTTTAAACATTCTATATAATATGTTACAGGAATTCTTAAAGAAGAAGGCTGCGGCTAATGCAAATGGAACAGTACCCGGATCTCCCTACAGAAACTGGTAAGACCCCCAACTCTTCGTCCATTACTAGTACCGTTTGTAATTTTTAAGCTTATAATCCTAATTTAATGGTTTTACTTCCAGGGGTATTGTGAAGTCGTCCTCGGGGGAATCGATCACGTCGACGGGCGCGACAGCCACCGCCCACCCCTACAGGATCGCGGCGCCGCTGCCGCTCACGCACAACGCGGCGCCGCAGCAACCTTCTCCCGCCGACTTCCCTCTCAGGAAGACAGGTATGTGCGACTTGCTGTGTCATGCGTGTATTATTGTGTCGTCGTTTTTGAGTGTTCCTAACACTTATGCAAAAAAGTTAAACTTAATTTCAAGTAACGTGTGGTTTCGATAGATTAATTAACAGTAATAGATTTAAAAACTGTTACAAGAAAGTAATGTTTGAGAATTTAAAGCAAATAGCATGATGAATGTTGTAAAAGTTTTGTCGTAGAAATATTTTATACAAAGTCAGCTGTTTTCAAACAATAGTTAGCATTAACATATTAACATGTGTGTGTACAAGCGCGAGCCAAGAGATAGTTGGATCATGACGTTCATCACTTTGAGTTCTTTTTAGATGTTTTGAAGTGTATAGAGTAAATGATCTAAGAATGGTGTAAGTGTATACAAGTATGTGTTGGCTCGCGCGTTCGTGTGTCACATTAACCGCATGTGCAGCGTCGGAGCCCAACATGCTGAAGGTGCGGCTGAAGGCGCGCGTCATCGAGCGCCGCGCGTCGCCGCTGGCGCGCCGCCCGCTCAAGACGCGCATCAAGCACCGCAGTGAGTATTGCGGACACTTGTCGCTCGGCTCTAGTGGCTACTTGTGTCACTTTAGCCTATGCCGGTGTAGCTTTTTTAGTTTGACTACTATTATATTTGTGAGGTTTGCGTATTTCTTATTTCTTCCCGTTCAAACGGCTGGACGGGTTTAGATGAAACTTAGCACATGAAAGACCTGGAGTACCATATATACTACAGTTTGGTTATGTGCCGGGCATATAAAAACGCATCTAAGTAAAGTTAGGTTGCTAAAAAGTAACTTTTATTTTTTAATTAGAAATGTAAAATATATAAAAGATTAAATGTTGAGATTTTGCCCAAAGTAAATAATAAATAAAATATTACTATAGTAATTGATTAATTTCATACGATTTAATATTAGACAATCGTATGATATGGTATCGTTTAGTAATGTATGTAATGATAGCTAACGTGTGTGTTGCGTGCGCGCGCGCAGATTGCGAGGGCGCGTCGCCGCGCGGGTCGCCGCCGGGCGCGGTGGCGGCGCCCATCCGTGAGGAGGAGGAGGGCGCGCGCGCGCCGGACCTGCTGTTCTCGTCGCCCTCGCTGCCCAACATCTCGCTGGGCCGCCCGCACGCCGCGCCGCGCCACGCGCCCCACGCGCCCGCCCCGCCCACGGTCAGGCACCACCACTGCTAACACCTAGCCTAAGCTAATTACATAATAAACATCCGTACCTTGCTGGTTCGATCTGGCTCGTAATAGTAATAGTATAGGTACTAGAATGGATTTTAAAGACACTTGTAAAATTCTTGTTACAAACGTTCAAAGTGTAAATCCAATCAAACCATGGTGTAAATCGCAAAATCATTGGTACAATCCGATTTGTAAGGCTGATCGGTAAATGCGTTGTAAATTGTAAGAAGATCTGTGTGGCCAAGGGGCGTTTTCCAATTACATCACTAAAGCGCATTGGTTGTGCAACAGCCAACAAGGAAAACTTTTTTTCCAATAAATCAGTTTATTACGTTTACAATTATTGCTAAGATAAAGAGGGCGCGTGCGCCGGCTCGTATCGTCCCGTAAGGTCATGTAAAATTAATGACGGCTGCCGGAGGACCGCCCTGGTCCCCGCCTGAGCGTTAGACGCGTGAACACGCATTATGCGGCATAATACTTAACTTCGAATGTTTCAACTACAGCAACGCTCCGCACAATTGAGCACTTTGAAAAGTACTGATTTGACTGATGCGCAAAACTCAGTAGCAGGAAATATAAGAAATGTTTTTTCGCCTTGATCGTGTTTGTGCACCAAAATATGGCATTATGCTCTATAATTGGAAAACAGGAAAGCATTGCTTATAATTAAATGTAAAAAATGTATGATATAAAGTGTGAGACGCTGTGATTGTGTTGAGCAATAAACATTTTAATTGATCAGTACTCTTATTATCGTTATACAGGTTGTGCCTTTAATTACTGGGATAATTTATAAAAAATAGTATAGAACTATTTTTACAGTTTACGATTATTATTACGATGAATTTCATGCATGAAGTGTGCTCAATAATGCAAATAATGCAAGAGTGCGTCGACGGTACAGGTGACAGTGGCGCTACCGCCGGTGTCGGAGGCGGAGGGCGGCGCGAGCGGTGCGTCCGGGGCGGGCAGCGCGTACTGCGGCGCCGCGCTGGCACGCCTGGCCAAGCGGCCGCTGGGCCGCACGCACTCCGCGCCGCTGCCGCTGGGCGACCCTGCGCTGCAGCCGCCCTCCGCGCACCACGCGCACCCCGCGCACCTCGCGCACCACGCGCACCACTACCTTCGCGACCAGATACGCAAGACGGTGCGTTACACCATCTTTGTTAAAAATGCTCCAGGAGTTTCTTTTTGGAGAAAATAATAATTTATGTTGTTTAGATATAAATTTAATTTACAAGTAATTGACTCGAATAGAATGTAGTCCTCGAATTGAAAATTAATGGTTTAATTATGTAATTAACTTCTGACTAAAATTCAACATTGACTACGATGTTTGCAGGTATTAACTCGCGCGCACGACGCGGCCGCGTCGCAGTTGCAGCTGCGCGAGGAGGAGGGCGAGGTGATCGACCTGACGGCGCGCAAGGCGGCGCCCGAGAGCCTGCCGTCCGCCCCCGCGCCCGCCCCCGCGCCGCCCGCCCACGCGCCGCCCGGCGCCGCGCCGCTCGCGCGCGCGCTGTCCTCCCCGCTGGTGGGCGCGCGCCCGCCCGCCACCGGCCTCGCCTACGACGCGCTCATGCTCAAACATGGGTAACTCTTTCATGTGTATATCCCTTTTTATATTTATTTTGCATTCCTTTATTCTTTTATTACCTCTTTGTTCGTACGCTTCTTATTGCTACTTTACGTTTACATATACATTATGTGTACTCGCACTGAACCGAACACTACAATGAGGGACGATTATTACAAACCGTGTGTATGCGTGCGTGTAGATGCGCGTGCGGGGCGCACGCGCCGACGCACCCGGAGCACGGCGGGCGGCTGCAGTCGGTGTGGGCGCGGCTGTGCGAGACGGGGCTGGCGGCGCGCACGGAGCGCACGCGCGCGCGCAAGGCCACGCTGGAGGAGCTGCAGGCGGTGCACTCGGAGGCGCACGTGGCGGCGTGGGCGGGGCGCGCGGGTGGCGCGGGGGCGGGTGGCAAGGGCGAGGGCCGCGCCGTGCGCCTCGTGCGCCTGGCGTGCGGCGGCCTGGGCGTGGACGCCGACACCGCCTTCAGCGACGCGCACACGCCGCCCGCCGCGCGCCTCGCCGCCGGTGCGCTGCTCGACCTCGCCACGCGCACCGCGCGCAACGAGCTGCGCAACGGGTCAGCTATTGTTGATATATTATAAATATAATTAATTACATATTTTATGAAAGTTTATTTCAATCATATTTTTCTAATGCAGGTTTGCAATAGTGCGCCCGCCCGGCCACCACGCCGAGCCCAATCAAGCGATGGGTTTCTGCTTCTTTAATAATGTAGCCATCGCTGCCAGGATACTACACACTAAGCTCGGCTTGCAGAGGATACTGATTGTGGATTGGGTAAGCATATCTAATTACATATATTATAGTTTGATACATTAAGAATTTTATACTTTTGATTGTTTGGATATTCTATGTTTAAAACAAAATTATATATGACGCGTAAGTCCGTCTGTGTGTCGCGCAGGACGTGCACCACGGCAACGGCACGCAGCAGATCTTCTACTCGGACCCGCACGTGCTGTACGTGAGCCTGCACCGGCACGACGACGGCAACTTCTTCCCGGGCACGGGCGCGGCCAGCGAGTGCGGGGCCGGCGCGGGCCTGGGCTACACCGTGAACGTGGCCTGGCCCGGCCACCCACCGCTGGCCGACGCCGAGTACCTGGCCGCCTTCCGCGCCATCGTGATGCCCATCGCCAAGGAGTACGACCCCGAGCTGGTGCTGGTGTCGTGCGGCTTCGACGCGGCCGCCGGGCACCCGGCGCCCATGGGCGGCTATAGCGTGTCGGCGGCGTGCTTCGCGCACATGACGCGCGACCTCATGTCGCTGGCGGGTGGGCGCGTGGTGCTGTCGCTGGAGGGCGGCTACGACCTGGCCGCCATGTGCGACTGCGCGCAGGAGTGCGTGCGCGCGCTGCTGGGCGAGCGCCTGTCCGCGCCGCCGCTGGCCGAGCTGGCGCGCGCGCCCGCGCCGCACGCGCAGCGAGCGCTGCGCGCCGCACTTGCCGCGCAGGCGCCGCACTGGCCCGTGGTACGATATTGCATATTGACTCTCGAAAAAACTTTTTAAACACATTCCAAAGATACCCTATACAAATTCCATTTTATACAAATTAAGAGATTTTGTAGAAATAAAGTTTCATTTTCTTTTTTTACTATCGTAATTCATTACCTCTTAAATATCTTAATTATGTACTTTTGAGGTCACTCGGTTGATCCTTGGCCATAGTCGGGGCTCGGTGCTGTTTTCGAGATTCAATTATTTTTTCTGACTTAAAGAACCCTGCGGCAGGACGTCTGCCGCCGGGTCCGTCAGCCGGCAGCATAGATAGTAACCGTGTGGTGTGCAGGTGAAGCGGTACAGCTCGCTGATCGGCATGTCGGCGCTGGAGGCGGGCGCGGCGGGCGTGGCGGGCGCGCCGGAGCGCGGGCGCCTGCAGAGCGAGCGCGACGCGGCCGACACGGCGGCGGCCATGGCGTCGCTGTCGGTGCAGCCGCCGCTGCCGCTGCCGCTGGCGCACGCGCCCTCCGCGCCCGTGCTCTCCTCGCTCGCGCTCGCGCCGCCGCAGACGCAGCCGCTCGCGCTCAGGTATCCTAGTTATACATCATTAAACTATGCAAGAACTAGTGTACATGAATGTGTATATCAATAAGTATTTTCATGTTCTTTATTCATTCTCAACTAGATAGGGCAGTAGCTATTCTTAACTGGGTGTCTTGTGCATATATTATATGTCTACACTCGCTTCCCTTGACTTTTATTATAAAATATCACTCTTTATTTTCTATAAATATAATATACCAAAATACGTATATAAGTTATCTTTGTCCCCAACAGCAAAAACATCAGACTTTCATACTTTCCTTTCACCCCCTTCAAACTCTATTTTCGTCATAAAAAGTAGCCATGTTCTCCAAATTCCCATCTGTCTATAGCAAAATTATCAAAATTGATTCAAAGGTTTAGGTGTGAAAACATAACAGACAGAGTTACTTTCACATTTATAATGGTAATGGTAGTTTATAATAGTATGGATGTTTATTAAATTTTATCATATCATGGTTTAAATCTTTTAGTAGCGCGAGTAAAAATGAATAAATAAAATTAATTACTTTTTTAAAGTTCTTACATACTATTTTATATACTATTCCCCATATAAACTTTCATCTCTATTTTCACCCCATTAAGGGATGGTTTCCGGGATAAAAAATTTCATCTAAATCGGTTCAGTAGATCCAGAGATTACCCCCTACAACATTACAAACTCACAATTCACAAACTTTACTTCTATTTAATATTAGTATAGATAATGATGTTTAATTTTATTTCAGCCGGTCGGAAAGCTCGCGCTCCGTCTCCGAGGAGCCCATGGAGCAGGACGAGGGCAAGTGAGCGGGCGCCGCGCACTGCCCGCCCTAGGCCGCCCGCCTTGCCGCCCGCGGCCCGCGCCTATGTGTATATATGTGACGCGTACAGCACGGCGCGGCGCACAGCGAGTCGACACGTTCTTTAAAGAACTGGACTGTCGCGGTGATTAAGACAAATCTTAATTTGAAAGCTTTAAAGTAGAAAAAATATAAGTGTACAAAATATGATATATTTGGGATATGCTTTTAAGTGTATGTAGAGATGGTAGGAGGTAGGTTTACTGCGACGCGTCGCCGGCGCGCGGCGCGGGCATTGTGACGATCTTGAATCTGTCGGAAAATTGTTTCAACATTCCGTCGAACCTTTGTATTATCTGTCTATACCAAAGACTTCAGATTTGAAAAATATTAAAAATATAAATGTTTATATGAGCTCGTCCTCTTGTTGCGATTTTATAGCAAAGTCTAACGTAGCGTAGCGGTACATATTGTTATTTTTGTATAAAGATAAAAGTTTAACTCGGTGTTCTGTGTCCTCGAAGGAGTCGTATCGACCGAACGTGATATTTTATCATTGTAGTGAAATATGAAAGTTTTCGGTATATAATAATAATATTAATGAGTGTCGTCGTTCCTCAGTAGTTGCGGATAAAACTGGTCGGTCCGTGTCTGTGTGCCGGGTGCCGACCACGTCAGTGTAACTAAACCTTTTCCAGATAGTGTATGTCGTGAGGGAGTGGATGGAGGCTGCGAGTGTCGCAGCGGTAGATATATTTTTGTAAGGCTGTCTGTCTATCTGTTGTGTGTGGGATATATGTGTGTGTGTGTGTGGGGTATGGGTGTGGGCGTGGGGATGCGATCTCGTCGCGCTCAATAGATTTAAACAATGTTGTATCTTTGAGAGTTTTATTGTTAAATTGGAATACAGATGAAATAATTATTTAATAAATGTATATATTATATATATTTGGAAATACATTTGCATTTTTATTTTTCTACCTCTTATTTCTCTGAACATTTCACAGTCGAATCATCTATTTAAATTTTAAGTAATTCGAGATAAACAAAATGACAGTTTTTCTATAAAAGAATTATCAAACAGTATTAATGTGAACATAAAATGATACATGATAATGGTTTTATAATATTATTTAACATTATCCCACATAATAACCTCAAATTTACATAATATCGAACATTTAAAAATTTTTAAGGAAGCTCCAAACCAACTGTCATGACTGCTAATCATTTTATAAATACAAAAATAGCGACTCTATTTAACTACATATTTACATTTAAAATATATAAAGCGATTATGTTACTTTATTGCGTCTTTAACCCAAATACATTGTCACACTGCACACTACGTCTTTACTTATGATCTAATTTAATTGACATCTGTATTTTTACAAACTCTTAAAATAATAAAAATTCAGTTTTACACACTCTTAAAATAATTAAAACAGTGAGCATTTATATAATGGCAGTACACAAAAACCATGTTTTATTTTTGGAAATTAAACTTAAAAATAATTATCTTTTCGGATTTTTTTTGCGGATTTATATTGATTTTTGGTTGAATGCATTCGAAATGTAGGAAACCAAAAATTAAATTAAATTCGCGAAAACAATTTAAAAGATAGTTTTATTTAAAACATTGAAAACAATATGTCTAAGTAAAAAAAAAAGTTATGAAGTATGAAAAATATTGGAAGAATTATAATATTATTTATATTTTTTAATGTTAAAGACACAGGAAGAAAAGGAGTATTATATTTTATATCTGTCTGTCCTTTGATACTCTATTTCTAGCGATGATTATACAGATAATATACAACTGGTGGGCAAGCGATAGACGAAAGAAACTAAGTGCCCGTCTATCTTGTTAAAATGACTGGATAACCATTCAGTTTCATTTTGTCCCTTCCAGAATGCCATTTTCATGAACTTGACACTAGCAAGGTTACGGGTATTTTTAAGTGCTATTTATGACCGAATCTTCGATCAATCGATAACAAGAGTAAAAATAAATAATATTATACATGTCTAGTACCCATTAATTATATATATATTCTTTATTGCACAAATAAATTATAAAAAAACAAAATACATAGAAAGTGACGTGGACAAAGGTGGACTTATCTCTATAAGAGATCTCTTCCAGTCAACCCATGCATGTGGGAAATAGTGTTAAATAGCGGGACAGAAAGAGAAAGTGCAGAATTTTTGTTATAGTAAAGTATATAAGTATGACACATAAATAAAAGTTAAATATATGAATACATTAATATACATATATAAAAATATAAAAAACATATACATATTTTAATTATATACATATTATATAACATAAATACATAAATACAATTATAGATATATAATATAAACATGTAATCTAATACATACTAAAACTATATAAATATATACGTACATATAAATATATACATAAACATACATATGCAAATAAATGTTAAACAGAAAAATATATTGTTCAAGATTGAGCTAGAAAATGCTTTTTTATGTTCGTTTTAAACACAGCTGTAGAAGGGCTCTCCTGTAGGATTTTAGGAAGTTTATTCCATAACACTGCAGCACGTACCGAGAAAGAGTTTTGTAAAAACTTGGTGTTACTTGTCGGTATCTCAAGCATCGATGTGATGCAGGGCCGCCTGGAACGTGTAGGAGTCGGAAGCAGGTTGAACCGGAAACGAAGGTAAGAAGGAAAATTGTGATTATGAAGAATATTAAATAGAAACAAAAGGATGTGCATATCACGGCGAAGGCGGATAGGGAGCCATTGAAGTTGAGCTCGGAATTCGGAGACATGATCATACTTGCGTAGACCATAGATAAAGCGTATGGCGAGATTTTGGAGACGCTCAAGTTTATTCAGTAGCTCCTCTGTCACATCTAAATAGCATACATCGGCGTAGTCGAGTATGGGTAGTAGAAGAGATTGCGCAAGCATAACTTTGGTTTTGAAGGGGAGAAAATATTGGAGACGCTTAAGAGAATGGAAAGTGAAGTGCATACGCCTACTAACTTCATTGATATGAGGTGTCCAAGTCATATTGCAATCCATAATGAGACCCAAGTTCCTTACCTTATCGCAGTAAGGAATTGGAACTCCAGAGTAAGTAATCGCAGACACTGATTTCCAATCTATTCTGCACCTTAACCTGCTGCTGCCAATAATTATTGCTTGAGACTTCTTTGCATTAACTAAGAGACCGAAAGATTCGGCCCAAGTTTGAATAGCGATTAAGTCATTATTTAAATTTTGAATAGCATCAGGCAAATCGTTCAACTCACAATGACGATAGAGTTGTAAATCGTCTGCATACAGATGGTAGGGAGAAGATATGGCGCGAGATATATTATTAATAAAGATAGAGAAGAGCAGTGGTGAAAGAACGCCGCCTTGGGGGACCCCAGCCGTGAGATCCAACCACACTGATGAAGTGTCATTAGCTCTCACACACTGGCGACGCCCGAAGAGATATGAGTTAAACCAGTCTGTAGCCGCAGGGGAAATGTTAACTGCGCGAAGAGTGCCAAGAAGGATGTCGAAGTCTACAGAGTTGAATGCGCTACTAAAGTCAAGAAGTACCATCACAGTAAGCTTAGTGTTATCCATAGCGTACCGAATGTCCTCCGTGATGTTCAGCAGCGCACCAACAGTGCTGTGATAGGGACGAAAACCAGATTGGTAACGACATAATAGATTATAGGAGGTAAGGTAGGAGTAAAGTTGATTATGGACAATAGATTCAAGGACCTTGGATAGAATGGGAAGGATAGATATAGGACGATAATCATTGAGGCTGGATGGATTTGGGACTTTGGGTAAGGGTACGACTAGTGCATTCTTCCATTGTGTTGGAAAAATATTGCAGGTCAGTGAGTAATTTATGATGTGGGTGAAAACTGGAGCAATGCAGTCCAACACAGGAAGAATCATGTCGAGACTGAGGTTGTCACTACCGATGGCTTTAGTAGTGATGGAACGAATACATTTCTTAATGACATCTTCTGAGACTGGTTTGAAAGAAAAAGAGAACGAGTCTGGTGGGACAATACTAGATAAGTGATTAAGGGTAGCAGATTTGATTTGTTGATTTAATGTTAAAGGTGGGGTAGCAAAATAACAATTTAGTTTATTGAGGTCAACCGAGACTTCGCCCGAATTCGGGTTCTTGCCCACACCAAGTGACTCGAGGAATCTCCAAACTTGCGATTGGGAGAGACCCTGAATTGTGGTATGAATATACCGACGTTTGGCATCCCTACACATCCTGTTGCAGATGTTACGAAGCTTTTTGTATGCAGAAAGATTTTCTTCAGTTGGATATTTTTTGTTTTTAGATTTTGCCCTATCGCGCTTAGCCATAGTTCTCCTGATTAGAGGTGTTAACCAAGGGGCTGGAGCATGCTTCATGCGAACTGGTCTTACCGGGGCGTGAATGTCGTAAAGTCTAATCAGTTCAGTAGTTAATGACTCAACCATACTGTCAATATTATCTGATGAGAATACAGATGACCAGTTGCAATTCTTCACATCCTCTCTTAAGCGTTCCAGATCCATATGCCTAAAGTCGCGCTGGAAAAGAGTTTTGCCTCTAGCCTTTGGAGAACGCAGTTTATATGATAGGTAAATTAAATCATGGTAAGAGAAAGGGGCAGTCATTTGGCCGTGAGATATTACAAGATTAGGCCTCGAGACGGAAATTAAATCAATAAGAGAAGGCCTACAGTTAGGAAAATAGTGGGTGGGAGAAGACAAAGGAAGAATATGCAGATTGAAAGAATCAGTTAGTGCATGTAACGTTTGGGCTCTCGTGTCATTTTTTAGTAAACAAGTGTTTAAGTCACCCATGCAAATCACTTCATCATATAGAGTTACAAGATTGTCAAATATACACTCTAGGTCAGTAAAGTAATTAATTTTGTCATTTGGGCAGTAAAGCACTCCAAGCAAAATTTTTTTATGGTGTACAGTAATTTCTAAGAAGAGATACTCGA